TCCTATTTTCTTCTCCTTTTTACAACATGTAATGTTATTGCTGTAGAAGTTAAAAGTAGTTCACAAAAGTTGGTAGCAATGAATAAGAGCTAAAAATTGACTAAATAACTACCAACATTTTATAAATTTCAGTAAAAGTCATTGTAGAGAGTTGACACAAAGTTGTTTTTATTATTTTTCACACTAAAATTCACTTTCAATACTCCAGCTAGAAGCTAAGAATCGGGTCAAGTTTCGTTTTTTAATCAACTTAAACTTATAAATCAGTAGAAGAAATTTACTCATGCCTATATAATTATACACCACTTTTCCCCCTCCCTTGTAGATTGTTCGAAATCTACTGAAACACGAAGGGATCAATAAGGAAGCCATCAACAAGTCAGGTGAGACAGCATTAGACACGTCTGAAAAAATGGGTCGTACGGAAATAACGGCCATTCTCCAAGAAAGCGGGGTTCGAAGTGCAAAATCTCTGGCCCCACAAACCCAACCCGTAATCGCAAGGGAGTTGAAACAAACCGTGAGTGACATTAAACACGAAGTGCATGATCAGCTTTTGCACACTCGCCAGACGAGGAAAAAGGTCAGAGGCATAGCAAAAAGGCTCAACAAAATGCAGTCAGAAGGGCTCAACAATGCAATAACTTCGACTACAGTCGTGGCTGTTTTGATCGCCACTGTTGCGTTTGCCGCCATTTTTACTCTTCCAGGTTAGCAAAAACAGATTATTTATTATTTGTTATATATACTCTTTATTAATCGTTTCTGATAAATAGTTATTAGTCAGACTAGAATTGGAGTAACAAAATGTGCCCTTCTCTAATTTCTTTTTTATGTACTTTATTGTTGTGTTATGCTATTATTATGAACACTGCCCTGAGGTTTGGAGTATTTATCGAAAAGAGTCCGGATAAAATTACAATTACTGAAATTGGCCTTACAGAACCGTTGGCAAAGACTCAACAACCACACTCCTCAACTTTCAAAGATATTACAAGCAATCCCAACTCTTTTTTNCTAATCTATTTAAGTTATTTATAGTAGTTAAGAGATGTAATTGTACAATGGGAGATGAAAAAAGGGTTTTTTTGTTTCTTCTTGACATTCATTAGAAAATCGAGGAGCAATAACTGTAAACATCAGCGATTACCATTACCATTAGCTCCACCAAAACTTTTATGGGCCTTTTCCGTAATTAGACCAAACCTTGAGGGTAATTCCATAATTACTTCAAATTGAACGTATACCTCAACCCACTTTCTAAGAGAGGTGTATTCGTTTGGGATTTCGAGAGACATTTTAAGACTTTAAGATTTTCAGATTTTGGAGGAATCATATGAAATCTTAAGTCTGGAGGTGGGATTTCGTATAAGGTTCTTTTCTTTTGGAATCCCAACAAATCTTAAATTTTTTTTAACAAATCCTAATTTCAATTAAGTTAATATATACCTCATGATTTTGTAAGACTTTTTAACAATCTCAGATGAATACACCGACACTTTTGAAAGTCTTAAAAAGTCTAAATTTAGTACACCAGAATTTCTAAAAGTCTTAAAAAAAGTCTTCACAAATCCTAAATGAATACACAGAAATATATATATATATATATAATTCCGAACCCTCCCTGCAGGCCAGTACACGGATGACGCCAAAGAAGTCCCTCCTGGTTTCTCCCTCGGTGAAGCTAAAATCGCACCAAATATCGAATTCGCCATTTTCTTGATTTTCGACTCGCTTGCTCTCTTCATATCCCTAGCCGTGGTTGTGGTCCAAACTTCGGTAGTAGTGGTCGAGAGACGGGCCAAAAAACGAGTCATGACCATAATCAACAAGCTGATGTGGCTCGCGTGTACTTTCGTGTCCGTAGCTTTTCTTGCACTTTGCTACGTAATTGTGGGGAAAAACGAGAAGTGGCTTGCGATCGGTGTTACTATAGTGGGGACTCTTATTATAACCACGACTTTAGGAACTTTGTGTTATTGGGTGATAATGCACCGTATAGAAGCCTCGAATTTGAGGAGCTTAAGGAGGAGCAGCCGGTTAGCTTCTTGGTCGGTTTCGGCTGTTGTTTCGGGTTCGGAAGTTGGTGAGGATGAGTATAAAAAGGTGTATGCTTTGTGATAATCATGTGTATAGTGATATTTGGCCTTGGTTTAGGTTGCAAATTGCAAAGTATATTGAAGTATATATATATATATTTATTAGGAAAATAATATAGATAAATGAAATTATGAAATCGGGTTCATTTGCGATTCTAGCGCGAGTGAGCTGGTGATTTGTATCCTATATTGTTTAGATGTATTGTTGATTCTTGATTGATGTATCTGAAAATTTCACCAAATTCATCAGCAGTAATATATGTATAGCATTGGCAGTTTGTGTGTTGATCTGCATTTTCTCCAAATTGTTGATTCTTGATTAGTTGTATTGTTTATTTGAAATTTTCACCAAATTCATCAGCAGTAAACATATGTAGCATTGGCAGTTTGTGTGTTGATATGCATTTTCTCCGATTCTTGATTCTTGATTCTTGATTAGTTGTATTGTTTATATGAATTTTTCACCAAATTCATCAGCGGTCAATATATATAGCATTGATAGTTTGTGTTGAGGTGCATTTTCACCAAATTGTTGATTCTTGATTAGTTGTATTGTTTATACTTGATTGTTGTAATTTTTCACAAAATTCATCAGCATCTAATATATATATATAGCATTGGGCATTTTGTGTGTTGATATGCATTTTCTCCCAATTGTTGATTCTTGATTAGTTGTATTGTTGATTCTTGATTGCTGTGTACGAAATTTTCACCAAATTCATCAGCAGTTAATATGTATATATAGCATTTGACAGTTTTTGTTGATCTGCATTTTCCAGTTGCTATATTTGTTATTGTAATTTTTTTATTGTAACTTGTTGGAGCAAAGCTGCTATAGGTGAAAAACTCTAGCTTATATATGTGATTGAGAATTTCTTTTTCCATGGATAGTTACAAAAACTGTCCATAGCAGCTTAATTACAAAACTTTAAATATTTGTTTTAAATACTACTGTTAGGCTATCTAACCGTTAGACATACATATTTTATAAAATGTCATGCTTTTTTTTAGATAGTATTTTACTTAATGATATTTAAGTGTGAAAGTATGTATATTTATTGAAAGAGTATGAATGTATAACCATTAGACAGGGTAAATGTTGTTTTTGAAATTACAAGTATATTTACAGATGATAAATCAATGAAAATTTCTTAAACTGATTTTGTCTATAATAATTTTATCTTTTTTTTTTTTTTCTTATGTATTTC